CCCGCCTCCCTAACCTGTTCTTCCTCCCACCTATCCCCTCCTCCCACTTCAAGCCCCACCCCCATCTCCTACCGACTAACCTCATCCCGCCCCCTTGACCTGTCCGTCCTCCCTGGACTGACCTATCCCCTTCCTAACTCCCCACCTACACTCACCTTTACTGGCTCCATCCCCGCCTCTTCGACCTGTTTGTTTCCTCTCCACCTATCCTCTCCTCTATCCATCTTCTATCCACCTCCCCCTCTCTCCCTATTTATTTCAGAACCCCCTTACCCTCCCCCTTTTCTGATGAAGGGTCTCGGCCCGAAACGTCAGCCTTTCTGCTCCTACGATGCTGCTTGGCCTGCTGTGTTCATCCAGCCCTGCACCTTGTTGTCTCAGTCTCTTGGTGGAGTTGGTCTCTATTGTTATGATCCCCTTGGGCATTGAAAATTTTTAGAAAGACATTCGCATTTGCAATAGCTGACTGGAAGGATCACCTGTCATGATTCTGACTTTTAAGACTATTACTGCAATAAAGAAACTAAAACCAACATTCAATCATTAACACAACTGAATATCCTACACCAAGGTTAAACTTTACAGTTTTTGAAGTGAACTCTTCATTCTCCAGAATGAGGGCTTCTGAGGGCTTGCTCTGTCATTCTCCAACCAGCTAACTCCTGAACTAACTCTCACAGAGATCCCTTCCTCTACCCAAAGTTAGATGAGTCTTTCAGATTTGTTTAAATCCTCACAAATACTTTGACTTCTGAGTTCTGAGTCTCTCACACACATCTTACTTGCTGATCAACAAGACTAGCAATTTCCCTGCTTAAGCTGCCTCTGTTTTTCTCTGCTCTCTCTCTTTCCTGCTACCTCTCTCTCCCTCTCACCCCTCCCTCTCCCTCTCCCTCTCTCATTTCATTTCACCTCTCCACTCTCTCACTCCCACCCCCCACTTTCTCTCTCATTATGTCTGTCTCTCAGATTCTTGCAGATTGCCTGTATCTGGGAGATTTAATCAACAATATTTAAGGAAAATCATTACCTGATCGTGTAAATGCTTCCTGTGAACTCTCAAAGTGCATCTCCATGGTAACATGAATCACATGGATCTCATATCCAGGTAGAAATGTTAATCATTCTTTCTTTATACAACCCAACTCCATTCTTCTGGAATTAAACAGATAAAATAAAGTATAGCATTTACAAAAGCTGACATTTCTAAGACCTGCTCATTTTTTACAATCTTGTGAGTACAATCTTGTAGCTTCTTCCCAGTAAAACAATCTGCATTGTCCTCTTCCCTCTCCTCCCTTTAATTGTTAACAGCCAAATCACTCAGACTTGTTGCCAGGCAGAATTCAGAACAGGTCATATGACTCCTTTCATTCCTCCACCTCACCCTAACTTAAAGTCATAGTCCTAAAATATAACTTTCTTATAAACTTTGTAATTCAGCAAAGTGTATACTTTTACAACGAAATTCATATGTAACTGAATTACAACAGTTTTAAATTGAAACATTTGGACACGCAAACTTCCTCAACTGTGTTCCCTTCAAGATGTGTCTGCCTGTGCTTTCATATTTACAGAGTTCCATCACAAACAACAAAAATCCAAAAGTTTATTTCTTCACTAATGCACTGCGTAAGTTTACACACAAATGGTTAGACACAGTACAGCCTGAACTCACCTGATACCAGAACTACAAAGAATTCTACAGTTTGGTAGCTTTTTGATTCATTTTTGAAACAACTTATTTTGGTGCTTCCACTAAACTGAATCAAAATGCTATCAGTTTCAGTTCAACTGAGATGTTTTTGGGTCCACAACTTTCCCATGTTCATAGACTGAGAAGCTATAATTGCCTCTACTCTGTGTAATAATGGAAAGAACAGGAGCAAAGGGTGAGACTTTGTCCCCAGCAGGGTATCTGAGGGGACCTGATGTAGTGGCTTTGCATTATCCCTTGCAGTATAAAATAAAATAGACCCAGATGTTGTGGTATTGAAGATCTAACATACAATTACTACAGGTAGACAAACAGGAGGCTGGAAGAACACAGCAGGCCAGGCAGCATCTGGAGGAAAGGAGCAGTCAACGTTTCGGGTATTACCCTTCTCAGGACCTTTTTTTTGTCTCTATACAATTACTACAGCTCACAGTATAATGTACAAACATTACATTCACATGCATATCAGGTCTGGGCTAAGATTGAGCTATTAGACGACAACTGAATTGCATGGTGGCTCAGTGGTTAGCATTGCTGCCTCATAGCGCCAGGGACCTGGGTTTGATTCAAGCCTCAGGCGACTGTCTGTGTGGAGTTTGCACATTCTCCCCGTGTCTGCGTGGGTTTCCTCCCACAGTCCAAAGATGTGCGGGTTAGGTGGATTAGCCATGGGAAATGCTGGGTTACGGAGATTGGGTAGCTCTGTGTGGGATGCTTTTCAGTGGGTTGGTGCGGATTCGATGGGCCAAGTGGCCTCTTTCTGCACTGTAGGGATTCAATGATTGATTTAAGCATGAACTGGTAGCTGCACCTTGACAAAGTTTTATGTAGAGTCTTTCTGTGACAATGGGACCTCTCTCTCTCTGCTGCCACTTTGCACAGAACCTTCACTTGCCCCTCTACCCTCTGAAGAGACCACAGCCCAAGTATATCTTGGTTGGGAAGTGTTAACAAGAGTTCATGGCACACTTTGGCAGAATTCTCATTATTCAGGTACAAAAAGTAATTAAAAAGAGCTTCATTAAAAGTCTTCATAACTAGAAGGTTAGAATAATCAGAGAAGAGAGTTTACCCACAGCAAAGTCCTGGTTCAATCAAAGCTGGAGACCATGGATTGTTCTGGAACCTGCATTTTAGGAAGATTTTTTTTGACTTTGGAAAGAGTGCAGCCCAGCTTCTCTGGATTGTTCCTGGAGCTCCTAACCTTGAGTTATGACTAGAGATTGACGAGGGAGACTGTACTAAAATTACTGGACTAGTAATCCAGAGGACCAGGCAAATGTTCTGGTGTAACAAGGTATAGAGCTGGATGAACACAGAAGGCCGAACAGCATCAGAGGAGCAGGAAAGCTGACATTTCGGGTCTAGACCCTTGTTCAGAAAAAATGTTCTGGTGTCATGGGTTTAAATCCCACCACAGCAGCTGGTGGAACTTGAATTCAGCCAATTTATTTTTTAAAAATCAATCAAATAATTGAATCTGGAATCGATAGCTAGTCTCAGTAATGGTGAAAACCATCATCAAATGTCCGATAAATCCATGTGATTTATTAATGCCTCTCCAGACCCACAGCAATGTGACTGACTTTTAACTGCCCTCTGAAATGGCCCGACCAAGTCATTCGGTTGTAGCAGACATTGTTGCAGAAGGTAATGGCTCTGAAGGGGTTAATGCTCCTGTTACATTGGCTCCACCCATTCCACTGAGGTCACACACCATCTGTGGGTGGAGACAGGGAGTTCTACCCCAGCTTTCAGAGGGAGCAGATGGATCTGTACCAGCTCCCTAAGGTCTTAATAATTTATGGTTGACCCAATGTAATTGTACTTATTGCTATCATACAATAAACCTCTTGTTACCTCAGAGCAGTGTCTCTTCTGTAGATACTCCATAGTGGTGGAATTTAAATTCAACTAATGAAAATGGAATTAGTCTCTTTAAGAGTGAAATTGAAGTTCATTTTCGTAAAGACTCATATAGTTCGCTAATGCCCTGAAAGAAAGGAAATCTGCCTTCCTTACCTGGCCTGGCCTACACGTGACTCCAGATCCACAGCAACGTGTTTGACTCATAACTGCCCCTCTGAAATGACTTCATTCAAGGGCAATTAGGACTGGCCAATAAATGCTGGTCTTGCCAGCAATGCCGACATCCCCATGAGACAACAAATAAAGTGTTAAATGGAGTTGTGATGCATGATCTCATTGAATGACAGAACAGAGTCGAGAGCCTGAATGGCCTCCCCACGTCCCAATGTTCATCTGAATCGAGCCTGTGATGAGTTACTGCTTCTGGTTTGGCTGCTGCGATGGGAGACCACTCACAAAACCATGATTTGACTTCCAGGGTCTTAAACTCTCTTCTTCCTCTGCAGAATGTTGATGGGACAGTCCCTCAGGAGGGGGCAAAGGAGAACTACAGGTCAGAAATCTACATCACAAAACCTGGCTCAAAAGGGACTGGACCAGCTGTGGCCCCAAAACCATTCGGCAAACTGTCTGCGGCCAAGAATATCAAGATCATTCTGAACCCCAGCATCCTCGCCCCAGGTAAGTGTCCCCGGATGTTGCAATCGAAAGGAATGATCCTGTTTTTGTGGCTAACTCTCGCCTCTAACTTCTAACCTCTGCTCCTTCCCCATCGCCATCTCACCTGGTTTTGCTGTCACTTTCTAATAAGATTGGACAGGTTTGTGGGCCCCTTTCTCTCGATAAAAGAAGGGTAAACCGATAGAGGTCATTAAAATTATGCCAGGATTCGAAGAGATAAACATGACACAGGTGCTTTGAATTTTTGAGGAACACATAAAGATAAGCCAGACTGATTCCCGGGATGGCAAGACTGATGTATGAGAAGAGGCTGAATCAGTTAGGACTGTATTCACCGCAGTTTAGAAGAATGAGGAGGGATCTCAAAGAAACCTATAAAATTCTAACCGGACTAGACAGGGTAAATGCAGGAAAGATGTTCCTGATAACCAGGGAGTCCAGAACCAGGGGTCACAGGCTAAGGATATGGGGAAGGCCACTTAGGACTGAGCTGCGGGAAATGTCTTCATCCAGAGAGTGGTCAGCCCAGGGAATTCTCTGCCACAGAAAGAGGTTGAGGGCAAAACATTGAATGTTGTCAAGGAGTCAGTTAGGGCTAATGGATCAAAGGGTATGGGGGAGGAAGTGAGACTGGGGATTGAGTTGAATGATCAGCCATGATCATATTGAATGGTCAGCCATGATCATATTGAATGGTGCAGCAGGCTTGAAGTGCCAAATGGCCTACTCCTGCTCCTATTCTCTATGTTTCTATGTTTAAAATGTTCAATAGAAAATTCAAGGGGGCATTTCTTACCCCAAAAGGGAGCTGAGAGAAAGGAACTCACTGTCACAGTGAATAATTGGGGCAATTAGCATTGGTACATTAATGGGAAGCAAGTTAAGCACAAGGAGGAGAAAGCAGTAGGAGGTATGAACATGGGAGCACGAGTGGGCTACACAGCCTTTTGGGTTTGTTCCACTGGTCGACTAGACCATGTCAGTCTTCTACCTGTAGAGATAACTACCTTAGGGAATACTGCACTGCCATCTGGGGTAGGGAGTTCCAAAGATTCACTACCCTCTCTGAGAAAAAAATCCTCCTCACCTCAGTCCAAAATTGTTTGCCCCTATGGTCAGATTGTCTGGGTGTCCTTTTCCATGAGTCATTAAAAGTCAATATGCAGACACATCAAGCAATCAGGAACGCAAACGGTATGTTCACATCCATTTCAAGGGCATTTGAATACAGGAGTAAATAAGATTGCTGCTGTATAGAATCTTAGTGAGATCTCACCTCCAGTATTGGCTTCCCCACCTGAAGAAAGGACATAGTTGCCTTAGAGGCAGTTCAATAGAGGTTCACCAGATTATTCCTTGGGATAGCAAGATGTCTTTTGAGGAGATATTGATAACAGTGGGCTCCTAAAAGTGAATGCTAACTTGCCTTCCTGGTTGCTTGATGTACCTATATATTGGCTTTTAATGATTGTGGACCTATGTTCTTGAGTTGTGAAGATGGGAAGTTGATCTCATTGAAACTTAGAATGTTTTAGCAAGTCATGACTGATTGGGTGTATGTAGGGATTGGAACAAGACATCAGCCAGGTAGACCTTGTGGAATATGAGTTCCCTGATTGGGGCTGTTAACCCGGCCCAATCAGGGAGCCCTGGCTGACAGATATAAACAGGAGTGTCAGGGGCTCTGCTCACTCTAGGAGCCAGCTCTGAGCTAGCTGGGTCAGTGTCATGTACTATGCACACATAAATAAAGGGTGACTTGGTGACAGGATACCAGCCTTTGTGGAGTTATTACAGTATAGATAGGATCTTCCTCTGGTTGGTGACTCTAAAACCAGGGGTCACTATTTCTGAATAAAGAACAGGCTGTTTAAGACTGAGGTGGGGAGAAATTTCTTCACCCAGGGGGTTATGAATCTTTGACATTCTCTACCCAGGGGGTAATGGAACCTCAATCATTGAGTAAATTCAAGACAGAAATGGATTGATAACAGTAAGGGATATGGAGATGGTGTGAGAATGTGGCACTGAGGTGTTTGATCAGCCATGATTATATTGATGAGATGAATGGCCTCTTCCTGCTTTCACCTTCCTGAGTCTCTCCTGGTTCTAGACCCTCGCAACCAGGAGAAACTACGCTGTTCTGTCCCGTCACAACTTCCAAATTAAAATACACCCTATAGAAATAGATGAGCTGGGGCTGGAGGAGGTTTGTGTGGAGTATAACCACTAGCTGTTGGGCTAAATGGCCTCTTTCTGTTCTGCCCACACAATGTGAATGCCTAAACTTCAAACAAACATTGTTCATTTACAGCAAATGTAGAAAAGTGAGGGATCTATTTCATTGAATTGAAACTTTTGTTCTCAGAGGTCATTGGTCAATGGTCAATGGAAATGAGGAAGTTGAGCATTCTTTCATAATTTTGCAAAACATCTTTAATGTAAATCAGTCAGAAATCTAACTCAGAGTCAAAGGCTGAGATAACTGATGACCGAAGGCTTGGTCACAGACTAACAGGAGAAGCTGATAGGAAAATGGAGAGAGGTATTCACAGCAGTCTTATCAAATGGTGGTGCGGGCTTGAGGGGCCGAATGGCTTGCTGCTGACCTTAATGCTCCTGTTTGGAGACAGAAGAGGCGGTGAGGTTTAAGAAGGGAATTCTAAGGTTAAAGACGAATTAGCTGAGGGTCCAGTTGCCAATGGCGGAGTGAATAAAGCTGGGGATGCTTGAGAGGTCAGAGCTGAGAAACCAGGGAGTCTCAGAGGATTGGAAGTTACAGGCAGGACTGGTCGAGATGGTAAAGGATTGGGATCTCATTGCTCTGTTTCCTCAATGTCAGGTTATTCCGGGCCTTTGAAGGAAATTCCACCTGAGAAATTCAACGTCACAGCTGTTCCCAAGTCATACCAGTCACCCTGGACTGAAGCATTGATGGATCAACCCGATCTACTGGAATCCACAACTAATCAGCTTCCAGAGGCCCCGGTTAAAGCTCAATCACAGACCTACAGGTGCTTCAACAGGTAAACACCACCTGAGACTTGGTGTCAGCCACACACAAACTCCTCCTTACCCATCACTACCATTCCCTTTATTTCCCCTTATTCATTCATGGGATGAGGGTATCATTGGTTAGGCCAGCATTCATAGCCCAACGCTAACTGCCCAGTGGTCTCAATGAGTGCCGGATATCTCAGAGCACATTTCAGCCAATGAGACACTTAATGGAAAGTAGTCACTGTCACAAACAGCAGTTGATCCTGGGACAACTGTTAAACTGAGGACGGAGATAAGGAGACAGGTCTTCAGCCAGAGAGTGGCGAGCCTTTATAATTCTGTGTCCCAGAAAGCATTAATGTTTTCAAGAAGGAGTCAGATATATCTCTTAGGGCTAAAAGGGATCAAAGGGTATGGGTACTGATCAGCCACGATCATATTGATTGGTGGAGCAAGCTCAAAGGGTCAAATGGCCTACTTCTGTTCCTAGTTTCTATGTTTAACACTAAGTATCAAAGGTAGTAAACATGTTGGATGTATGTCAGAGGTCAGTCAATGATCTCTTCAGTAAAAATGGCTCAATGGACTCTTTATTCTTTTACGGGAAAGGTAACAAACTCTACCTTGTCCTTGGTCTGTGTGCCCTGCTTGGCCAGTTCAGAGGCTAGTCAGCCTGAAGTCACATATAGGCTAGACCAGGGAAGGATAACAGGTTTCATTCTCGACGGGAGCATCAGTGAACCAGGTAGGTTTTTAGCAACAATCAAAACATTGTTTTCAAGAAGCAGGGGGCTTCAGGTTCCCCCAGAAGGTCATCAACAGCCACTGTCAGAGTTTCAGCACTGAGGGAGCGCTGCAACATCAGAGGGTCAGTACTGAGGGAACGCTGCAACGTCAGAGGGTCAGTACTGAGGGAACGCTGCAACGTCAGAGGGTCAGTACTGAGGAAGCGCCGCACTGTCAGAGGGTCAGTACTGAGGGAGCGCTGCAACGTC